CCTTTCCTTTCCTTTCCTTTCCTTTCCTTTCCTTTCCTTTCCTTTCCTTTCCTTTCCTTTCCTTTCCTTTCCTTTCCTTTCCTTTCCTTTCCCTACACACTATTTGTTAAAAAATTGGAGATTATTATTAGCAGTAAATGAAAGACAAAGAAAGGAAAGTATTTTGGAACTTTAGTGCTCTCTTCTGTGTGGACAGGTATTCAGTTAAGACAAATCAAGTACTCCACTGGCTTCAATTCAGTTATATATTTTACATTAGCTGAGGAAAAAACCCAGTAAAAGAACATTATCTACAATAAACAAGATTGGATTGTTAACAGGAAATGATTATACATTAGAAAGGTTTCCTGGATCACTATTTTACCTAATAGCATCTGAACTGAGTATTGCTGTTTTGCTCCTATGTGAAAGCTTGGCCATTTCTAATTTTTTACCCGTCTCATATGCTTGCTCCCACCAGCATTCCTGACTTATGATGTGTGAGGCACCCCTTCTCTGGTCTGCAGAAAAGGTCACACCTGTGGCAAGATATCTGCCTAAGAAGGATGTTGAGATTTACTTTATCTGATGGGCAAGGCAAGCCCCATCTGAGAGGAAAAGATTTAAAGCACTGCAAGAAGCAGAGGGTAAGACGAAGGATCTTGCCTGGTCTCCACACTTCTGTAAGAAGCAGACCTGGTTTTGTAAAACTCTGCATGCTCCCTTCTACTTGATGGGCAAGGGTTCAGCTCTGCTCTCTCTGCTCGTGTGGTCACTTCTAGGGCCTGGGACCTGGGATAAAGTCCTGCAAATGTGTGAGGTGTAGGAAGGACAGAAGCAGAGGGATTCTCTTAGAGGTCCAGCTCATAATGCCTGAGACTTGGCAGGATGTACACGTGAAATAATCTTCCTTTAAAGAAGTCAGTGTCCATGCTTCATACCCTTAATTTGTTTGGAGTTGGATTCTGAGGATGAGTCCCCACTAACATAGGACTGAATTTTATATGTATATAGTTGGATTAAACTTTCCTCAGTGAACATATAATTATTCTAGATATTCCTATTGGAATAATATTCCTATAAGAGGCATAAGATTGCTGATTTTTCTCTCTGATATCTAGCGTGCTATTTCATTAAGGTATCATCTTTTAAATCAAACTCCTGAATTACTTGAAGAAGAGTAGTTCAGTGATTGCTTTTGGCAGGTGGGCATGAAATACTCATTAAAGAACTGTGTGTTGTTATCAAATGAGTATTGTGCTGTTTTCACTGAGATTTCCAGGGCCTCTTAGAAAGCCATACCTAATGCTTAAATTAAACATTGAATCATATTACTTAAGCAGAAGTCAGCTACTAATAACATAATTCTTACTGATCTGCTAACAACCTGGAGATCAGTTCAATTGTTAGGAATTCTAGCAGTACCAGAATTACCACTGTGTTGAATTATTAATGGTTTGTATCAAAGAATGAACTTAAATTGCTTTGGTCTTGTGTAAAAATTCCTCTGATCTTTGGCAATCATTATTTATTTACAGCTCCCATACGTTCTCCCTCTTTCACAAAGAAATAGGGTTTCTTAAGTATGGCCAGGAGGCATTGAATTTTCATATGTAGTACTGTCTCTCAGTTAGAAAGACAGGGAAGAACTGCTGGCTTGAAGGTTCAGCAGGCAGCTTTTCCATGTGAAAGGCAGGTTATCTAAACATTTTTTTCCCCTGAGAGAGATATTCATAATATTTATTCTAAAATACAAATATTAGGGCTCTTTGCTACATGTGAATTATCCTTAGGTATAGTAAATACAGTTCAGGTTAAAATAAAATCAGGGCATAGCAACAGCTAGTGTTTACATTTATAAAAAATACATGCGGAGATTTTTGCAGGAAAGTGTTCCTGAATTTATTAAAAAGCCCCCTTTTAGTTGGATAAAGAACATTTTAACATTTAGACTTGAACTCAAGTTGGCTGTAACTGTAAATGTGGCTTCTATAGAGGATCTCTCTGTTTAATGTGGACATCTTCCCCTAAGTTGGTTCATTTTGCAGAAGGCAGATTAATACCAAATGTCCTGATTTATAAATTACACAAGACTGGATATTTAATTTTTTTTCTTTAAATTCAGCTTCGATCTATCAACTAACGTCTTGACAATCCTTTAGAGTCAAAGAGAGATAGGATCACCCATTTGTCACTATTACTTGTCTGTGTCAGACATATAATTACTTGAAGCACCTGGTCAGATACAATGAAAATGGAACAGAGAAATAAAGGCCATATTTGAGATACCGTTGCAGTTTGTATTTAAAACTTAAAACTGCAACAAAGTTTCAAATGGTGTAGGACACTGCTTTAAAGAGAAAGTTACACAGAATAAATCCCTAAATTTTTGTTTATGAAAATAATTGAGGCCATTTGTTGCTTTGAACTGTTCTTCTACTGATAATCTGTTAACTTTCACAACATATACATAGAATTGATTTTCTTCAGAAACAGGATATAGCAAATGTTCCAAACAAAATGCCTTTCAAATTTTCATACAGCAGTTCTCATTTCTGTCAGCTTTTATTTAAAACTGCTTCTACTTGAGCAAATTAGAGGAATATGGTTTTTAATTGCTATTCCTTTTACTCTGCAGAAATCAAACTAGCTGCAAGTGGACTACAAATACTCAAATTTTGCTTACTAGTTTTATAAGGTTTAACTGAAGATGCACCCAGATTAACAGGGTTTGATAGGTCCAGCACCACGAAAGGGAGAAGCATTAGGAGGCTCACCAGCTACTTAGTTAGTGTATGCCACTATCAGACCTGAGCAATATAAAACAGCACCAGACTCATCCTTTTTCTAAAATGCTTGTTCCTATATTAAAGTTCTACTTTCCCTCTATGGTAATATTCCTACTGAGTTCCACACTCATACAGGAGGGCTAGTTTTAATTACAACCTCTATAGGAATGTCCCTGGCCTGCTAATTCTTACTCTATAGAACTCTTTGGGAATAGATATCAAATATAAACACACTGTTTGCTCTCTCTCTGAAGCAATCTTGCCTATGATAAGTCAGCCCTGAGAGGGTTCACCTGCTTCTTGGAGCAGAAATCCACTTCTCCAAATATATGTTCCACTGAATCACCAAATCCTGGCACAGACATACAGGAAAGGCACATCATTAACAGCAAAAGGCACTGCCTGCTGATAACTCCTGATAACCCATAGCATGCATCTCTATATCCTACTCTAACAGTGAAGTTCTTTCCAAAATGCTCAGTGCTAACCCTGTGTTATTACAACTGAAATAGCAGCAATTAAATTTCCATTGCAAAGAAAATATGAACAAAGCTGAACACTCTTGTAAAAAACCACACCGTTCAGATGGGGAAAGCAGCTTTGAATAGCTGAGAACTCTGTCAAATCAACACCAGTTCTCATCAGAACACTCCAAGGTACTTCTCTTTGCAATAACATAATGCATTTCAATTTCTGTCACTATCACTTTTCCATGCTTAGACAAACAATGCTACATGATTACTTTATATCTCTAAAGACAGTGATTTTTCCCTTAAACTACCCCAAATAAAATCTAGCAACACTAAATGCATATAATAGTAAAATTAAAACAAAGTATTAAACAGAAAGAAAAGAGCAAAGATGTAGAGAGATTATGTCCAAAAATGTCTCTAAGTTAAAGACTTCAGAATGTTAAGAGTGAAAACTCAAGGTTAGAATGGAAGCACTTTTGAAATGTTATCTGCAATGGTTATTGCACTGATTCTACCAGTCTCAATTGCAAACTCTCATACAATTCCCTATATTCAAGTTGCTATATATATATATATTTAAATCCTTTTGTTCATATATGCGATAGGTAAAAAGGTTTTGGTTTTTGCTAAATCTTTACAGGACTATGACCTTCACAAAGGTAGGTACCTCAGATGCTCAAGGAAAATAGAACACCTCTGTCTATTTATTAAAATAAATAATAGTTAATAATAAATAAAAATAATAGTTAATAATAGTTAATAAATAATAAATACATTCAGAGGTTTTTCTTTGTTCCCAAGAAATACAATTTTTAATATATGCTGTTATATGATTCCATGCAATGAAGCATATTTTATTTTACAATGTGCAAATATGCTGCATTTATCAAAAGCAATCCTCATCAAGTTTTCTTTCTTTTGGGAAAATTAAAACATATTTTGCATCTAACTGTACAATATTATTGCATCTAATATGATTTTAGGTGAATGAAACCAATAAATACAAGTTCAGGTGAAATATTTTGAAAAATGCCTCTACCCATATTTAGTACAACACTTTGTTTAGCAATTGAGGAAAGTACTCCTTTTAACTGAGAATGAAATCAATTCTTCTCTGTCCCTTCAATTAGGATTACCCTGCTCACAGTTTTTATTAAACAGCTTATATATTTGAGGTATTGGATCAATTTCATACATGATGAAATATTAGATGTCTGGAAATCACTACAACACACAAAACCCCCTCTAACTGGCATTATGGGAAAATTAATCATGATGCAACTCACCACTCACCCAAAAATGTTATGATCTTTTACAGTTTCTCAGATTTCACTTGTACGATCAATCTCTTGTAGGATGCTTTGTGCTTGGATGGTGGTGAATTGTAGTGGAATGTCATTTCTGTCTGAAGTAAAAATTGTCATTCTTTCTGAAACTCAGAGATAAATTTTAGTGGGTTTTTTTTATATTTTACTATTTGATGAATATTTGACTATAAAATAACATATTCACATTGGCATACAAGAGACTATGGGAATTTAGTCAAGCATCCATGATAGCAAAGGAACTGGCAAGCAGATTATGGTGAGGCAATACTTTTAATCTTAAATCTCAGTTCTGTGAGCCAGCCATCTTAATTTCTGCCAGTCTGAGAACAAATATTTCAAAATTGGTTCACAATATGTGCTTTAGTCTGACCTCAATCATGACCAGTTTATACCAGGCTAGTGGGAAAACTTTGCATTACATCTTTTTCAACCTTACTCTTTGAGGATACCCTTCAAGGTTATCTTTGCATCATGGTGCATTTGCCATCACTGTATTACTGTCATCCCATTTGGCTGAAACCAGATTGGTTATCTGATGAGGTAACAATAAGTACAGTCTTGTATTCTTAGACTTTTTCTCTGGAATTTAGGAACTGAGAGCAATTTCATTATTTTTCTTTAAACTGGCCTAAGCAGAGTACAATCAGCATTAAACTCTTATCACTTAGGAAAATTAGCAAACAACATTTCCATTTTTTTAATGAATAGCTAAGCAACACAACAAGATGAGTCCTGGAAGCTCACCAAACACAAAGAAACCTTATTTCCCAGATGTCTTTCTCCAGTGAATTTTTTTGTGCTTTAGTTCATAAGTGCACAGGAGTGCACTTGGATGCCATCAAACAGAGATTCAGTAGTCACTGGTTATTTCTGATATGTAATAATCTCAACACAGAATCAGAGAGTCAAATGGCTTCTGCATTAGAAGATTCACAGCTGTCAGAATTTATCAAAGACCAATTGCAGGAATGGATGTTGTCTAAGTCTGCTGCATATAGTCTTACAAACTTTTCTTGCTATTGTAGTTTCAATGGAAAAGTTTTATTCATCCATTAAATTAAATAAGCAGGAAGGAAGTTCAAAAAAACACTCTATAACAGGACTTGTAAAATTAATAAGAAATTCCAGGAACCAAAACAAAATGATAAAAACAACCTAAGTAAAAAAAAAATTAATCCAAGCTTTTGATCATTCTTCAGCTGTCCCTCTTGGGACTTGGCTTTACCAACATATCTCTCCAGAAGTTATACTGCAAGGCAATATAGAATTACATTTGTGATGACAAAGTAAATTATTCAATAAAGAAATTCAGGTTTCAGTAATGCCTTTTTTCCTCCTAAATTTATGTAGCAGCATAAATTTGCACATTGCTATTTATCAGTCTAGTGAGTTTTTTTTAGTATATGAGTGCCTCCTAATGAAAAAATAACCAAAATCACACTAAGTTGATGGTATATCTTTTCTTCTACTTAACAGTTTATTTTAGCCTTCTCTTCCCTCATTCTGCACCTACCCAACAATTCTTTTTTGCCACTCTCTTTCTAAATGAATTCACTTAGACATTCTTCTTACCCCCTCATTCTTAATTTTAGTTACTTTCCAGAGAACTGTAAAAAAGAAACGAGAAATAGCATTTTTCTTTCATTTTGAAAACAGTCATTTTGGTAAAAATTTTGTATGCCAATAGGCTTCTTGGACTGTTGCTGCTCTCCTCACAGCTTAGGCTTTACTTTTCACTGAAATAGATGAATATTCAGCTGTTCAAATGGAAACCAGAATCTAATGATCACAGAACCCAAAAATGGAGAAGAATCAGTCTAAAACTAATGACTTGTCTCTTTTTTGGCAAGGTTTAAAACAATAATGCAAAGATCTGTAAATTTAATTGAGAAAAACAACAATAAACATTTTCTTTATTTTGTTATAATTTTATTTCCAAAAACTCAAATCTTTCTTTTACCCCTCCTTAGATTTCAAGCTCTGGTCCTTGTTTTTTATTTAACCTCCCAGGAGAAAGGGAGTGATGAAGTCTCCTTTTTCTTACCTGTTTCTCATTAGTATACAGGGATCCTAAAGCAAAAATGTAAAGGAAATAAAATTTCTTTTAATCAGAAAGGTTTTACTTAAAATATGGCATAAATTTTATTTGGAAATCAAAGAATAACTAATCTTATTTCTTGTGATTTACTTTTATTAAAAGTTCAGCTTTTTCCCCCAGTTGTTCTACTGAATAAAGAAACATTACATTGCAGGAAAGTGCCTTTAAAGTCTTTTGGGTTCAGAAATGGCTTATTGCTAAGACCTATAGTGCAAGATAATAAACCTTTTTTTTTTTAAATTTCAGCTCTTACCAGGTTGTAAAGCAGACAGATATATTCTTATTGAGACATGTGATAACTAGAAATACTTTGGTTTCTTGACTCAGTATATAAGCTGAAGTCACAAATGCATTATTTTTAAAATCACTTCTTATTTTTCAGTGGCGCTGTCATTGGAGATAGAATGGTGGTAATCCAGGTTGAAGTTCATCCCCAAAAAAATTGATTAGTTGAAGTAATGAGTCCAAAAGTTATGTAATTTCATTTGCTATAATTACCATGCAGAATTGTAACTCACCCTTGTTTTCTGCAGAAGACATGAAAGAATGTTCTGCCTTTTTGGGTGTCAAGGGATATATGTAATCTATGCATTCAGCTCCTGAGTTTTTCTCTAATCACAGCTTGTTTCCCAAAATCAGATGTTACTTTTATGACCTTAAGATCTTAAGTATATATTCATAAGAAAGCATTCCCTTCTTTTCTTGTTTTTCTGTTTCAGTGTTCTAGAAAAAAATCAAAACACAGTCATGCTGATACTGTTAAGTAATTTCTTAACCTGCAAAGAGACAAGAAATCCACTGGCTGAAAATAGTCAGAATCTCTACAAAAAACAGCTGGAACCATTAGAAGACCCAACCAGTCAAGAAGCTTAGGCAGCAGAACTTGTAAAAAAATCTTTGTATGTTAATTATTATATATTAATATATATAAATAATTGTATATTAGTTATTATATATTACCTGAAAAAATTAATTCCATCTGTCACATTATTCTAAACTATGAAGTCAAAAGGTTTACAGCCCAAGAAACACACCTTTAATTCTGAAACTTCTATTGTTGTAATCTTCTATTTTGTAGAAATTCACATCCCAAAATGAATTATTGACTTAAAAGGAATGCTCACAATATCAAATGGCATATAAGAAAAAAATGAATGTGAGAGTGTGGAGAGAGGGGAGACATTTATTTGTTTGTAGTGCTATGTGTGAATGCTCAGTTCTGTCTTGCTTCTTCTAAAAAAGCAAAAGGAACATTTACAGTGTGAAAAACATTAATGACAATAGCACTAAATAATCATACATGTGCTTTTGGATAATTTTTACATGAGTACCATACTACATTCTTATCAGGGAATGGTATAGCTGGCTGCTAATCTTTTTAAATTTCCTGAGATTTATTTTTCTAGTCTAAATTTTATTCTGATATGAGATTTTAAACATCACCTTAGTTTAAAATTCAATTATATGCTGTTGAGTGACAAAGAAATAAGACATAAATGCACAGGATAAGTCCCAGTGTAAAATAGTTTTTCAGCTTATCCAAAAGATTTCCTCACTGACATGTTCCTGCACTGTGGGGAAGCAGATACCTGACAGAGTTTGGGCTTTTTAAACATTTTATTATGATGTTCCCATTAATTTAGACACTTTCCTTATTGATTGGCAGCATTGGTTGTGATGGAGAGTGTAATTCCTGCACTGTTAGATTCTGGGAAACTTCCATTTACCTCAGCAGAGCAGTCCGGAACATTGACGCAGCTACATGGTACCTGGCAGAGTTCATCTAGCAGGTCTGGAGGAAAATCACTGCTTGGAATCATATTTTCTTATCCACCAATATGTTGCAAAAGATCAGCACTTCAAACATATGCTCGTGACATAGCTGGGTTTAGGTAGATAAAAAGATGAAGACATTTTAGATGTGTTGTTTACTCAGAAAAGATAATTTGCTTACAGGAATTAACTTTGCTAGTAAAAATTTGAGAGTTTCATTTTTTAATATAAATATTTGGCTAATAGATGGAAAAGGTACTTATTTTCTCTTCAGTTGGCTTTCTTTCCTAGGATTAGTATAGCATGACAGATGGCTGATGTCATCTTTACTTGGAAGAACTCAGCTGGCAATAATAGCATGGTACATTTCTGGGGATTTGCGGTACTGTATGTCATGAAGTCGTTTTCAACCAAAAAGAGTCCAAAAGGGAATTCCCAGAAGTAAATATCTGCCTATGATATCCTACTGTGTCTTGTTGATGCATCACAAGCAGAAGGAATCATAGAGTCTTTATAAAACTCCATAAATATTTACAATATTGTTGAAAATACATTGGAAATGCTACAGATTGCAAATGGTATGGGCCCCCTTGGCACTGTAACTTTGATTTTGCTGTTGAGTGAGAATAACAAAAACTGGTGATTTATATATATCAAAATCTGTTATGTATATATTTGAAGTTCAGTGATTTTTGTCACATTTGACATTCATGTGTAATAGAGTGAAAGCATTAATATTAGCAGAATGTAGATACGCTGGTTGATTGTTTTTCATTTTGCTAATGATTGCTGTGATGAGTAGAATAATGTCAGGGTCGGAGGGTTAAAGTTAATGAGAGCTTTCCATTGCACCATTGATTAATGGTGGATACCACAGTGAGAGATTTTCAGATTCCTGCCATAGAAAAACAATAAAGGTAAAAATTATGCCAATTTAAACACTTATACTTTGACTTCCTACCAAAATGTTTCTAAACCTGTCATAACGACATCTAGGCCTGACAAAAACAGTGAGAATTTATATAAAAATATTTAAATTGTATCAGATGCTTGTAATTATATAAATCAAAGCTCGCTTTTTAAATCCATACTTTCTCTATCTGCACTAAGTTAAACCATAAGAGATTTTACATTCCTCTCCTAAATGCATGTTGAAGAGTACACTTTCTAAAGGCAGAAAAATAGCATTTTTGTAGCATAATATATGTTTTAATATTATAATATGATTCTTTCAATAGCTGACTTAATAATTAGGATTTAAATATGTTGATTCCAGTTGCTATCTGTTCTCTCCTAATCCAAGAGCAGGCTTTACTGACTGGATTTCAAAGACAGAGGGCTACTTCCATAAAGCTCCAACTCTTCTTGGAGAACAGAAATACAAATGCAAGAAAGTAGATCAATGTCCATAAGAGACTGATAAAATATTTTTGATAATTATTTTCCATTTCAATGCTTTTTACTACTCTGTGTCACAATGAGAAAGAGAGACTGCAAGGCAATGGAAAAAAGCATCTTAAAAACCAAAAAGTTCAGCCCACCCTCAGCCCCAAAATCTAGCTTTACTTACAAAATGTCATCTTGTCAAACAAAATGTATTTTTTTAAAATTCTGCTAAGAGCTTACCAAAATATATAATTTTTAGCAAAGAATATTTAGCAAATAAAATCATATCATATCATATATTGGTAATGTATGAAAGAATTTAATTACTTAAATGTCTCTGCTTTTCGTATTAACCTATCTTTATATACTTAAGAAATACACAAATAAAACATGACCATGACATTTATATGAGAATTTTTATTCCTTTTCCATTTTTTATTAGGAAATAAAATTAAATGGCTGCATGTAGCATGGTTAAGAGAAGTTAACTCTTGATCCATCACCTGAACATTATGGACAATGAATTGTAATTGACCTACAGTACCTGTGAGTACCAATATAAGCTTTACCCATTATATGAAGAAATTTGAAAAAGGCTGGCCTTATAATAAAGCAGTTTATGTTCCACTGTAGCTGTGTTGATGGTGCACTGGAGAGACCATTATATGCTGCAACATGGAAAATAGTAGGCTGGTAGGATTTTTAATGCTTTTCTTTTGTAGTACAGTGTACTTCTTTCCCAAGTATGATTAAATAATCATAAGAACTCCTCTAAGGGCTAATCTGCGTTATTTCCCAGATTTTCACCTTGGGGACATATTGTCCCTTGTCACTGAAACCTCGGGGACAGAAGGGTACGCTACAGGGTGGCACAGCAGGAAGCTGAGATACTGATGAAACAGTGTTCAGTTAATGAAGGCATGGCCCATGGCTTCTGCTGGTATGCCATATGTTTGAAGAAATGCTAATGACTACAATTCAAATACCTTTTTCATCTTAACTATATGTAAATGTGTTTATAAATGCTCTCTTATAAATATACTATCACATTTTTAAAAGCTAAGTGCTAATGTTGCTTTCAACATCTATAATACACAATAATTAAAACTTTAGCAATTCTGCTTAATTATACCTTATGGGAAACTGTACAGTAATTTATAGAAATTAAGCAGAAAAACAAAGATCAACAGAAATAAAACAGCAGTCTAAGAACTGAATAATAAATCATTTAGATCATTATTTTGCAAAAAAACAAGCTCATTGTGAATAGACAACTTAGGGCCCAGTTATCAAACAGCTGAAATTTGCAAGGGAAAGATCAGTTTATAAACTCATGACATTCTATTAAAAAACTCCTTCAGCAAGTTGAACCAATTGTGACTTTTTTGTGCAGTCAGATCATTTAACAAAACTCAGAAACGAGAACTACCGATTTAAGATCAAAAACTGGGGAGATCTTAATTGGGCCGCGGCTTTTTTCTCTTTGCTTTACCTTTGTGAAAACCCTGTAACACTGCGGGTGATCATTAGCCACAAATGGCATTTTGCAGTGAATCATCTTCTCCCCAAGGGGCCAAAACAACATCTCCATTGCAATAGCAGACGTGGCATTCAGGAAGAGCAGTTGGTGACCAGGTTAGCCTACATGGGACACTACTATTTTTGCTGCAAGACAGGACACCCTGTTGCAATCATAACTGTTCCAAAGAAACTCCCTCAAGATCCAGGTTAAGGCAGGTGGTATTGCTAATCTGGGAATCCAGTACTCACCTTTTATTTCCCCCTCTTAACATAACTGACTCACTCATATACAAATTTTGCTAATATCTACTACAGAATTTAATAAACTTCAGATGAAGAAGGGCTGAATATTTTTAAATCTCAGAGAAAGCCTGTTGAAATTACATCTCACACAGGCAAAGCCATAAAACAACCATCAGTTAACTCAATTTTCATTCAAAAATCCAGTCCAAGCAAGGAAACTAAAATACAAAATGTGACAGCTGCCTAAGCATTCTTTAGGACAATATGAGTATTAAAGGTAAAACACCTGTACCAAGCTACCTTTACTGATTCCTTTCTTTCATTTGATCCTTAAGAATTAGGACAGAAGGAATTAGATGAATGAGCTTTACTTGTCCAGTTTCAGACAGAAGTGTCCAACACAAGTGTTACACTTTCAATGGAAGACTCTGCTTCACTCTCACCAAAAAGGGTCACAAATCTGATCTTAAGGAATTAAGAGAACTGGGAAACTGTTATATTTAGTGATCCTCTTACTTAAAAATTAGGCAATTGTTAGAGAAAAAGTACTTCTGACTAACCACATACTCTGGAGCACTCTGTGGGAACCCAAACCAGTTTACATGTGTGCAGTTTACATGATGAAACATTGGAATCGATTTTATAGTCAAGGCAATCAAGGTTTTAAATTCTATTAGAGAGAATGTGAAAGTGTGCTGCACAGACAAGGATATCTTGAAGGTAAAAATAAAAAAAAGAAAAGAAAATCACAGCTTCTCAATATCTTAATGGAAGGTCCTCCAGGCTGGGTAAAAAACCTCTTTATCAACTCTGCCATCTCTTCAAGCAGAATTCATCTTTGCCTGCCTCAGCCAAAAGCAGCTTTCTGCCCTCTGTGCCCCCTTCAGCCAGGCAAGACTGACAGTCAGGGTCAAGAATTTTGCCCTACATATTTGACACATAGGCTCTGAATGTCTCGTTTTATAACCATTAACACTGACTGGTCTGTTGAGGTGTCACTCTCTTCTGGAAAGCTGGTGAGACATGGGCCTTTTGTTGGCCTTTCATACAGAAGAAAATTTCACACTCTGACTGCACATTATTTTTTATTGACAAAAATGTAAAATATGGAGGACTATGGAGGTAATGGGTAATGGACTAGAACGTGTGTCCTTCAATTTAGCAAGTCAGTTCCAGCTTGGAAAGTAGAGAATTATTTTTGCACTTAGCACTTGCTTACTGACCTCTGTGAAGAATAGGAGTAAAACAATTTTAGGTACCTTCAATTACCACAGTTAACAAACTTCAGCTAAAAAAAATAATGAAAAGATGTAATTTTATTCCTATTTTACACATAAAGATGTAAGGTAGAAAAGGTAAATATGCATTTCTGAGAAGTAGAGGTGATCAGACCAGTGATTTTGAATCAGGAAACTTTCAATAGCTGATACCCTCAAGTTCAGGCCCAGTAGATATTTAAATATCAAAAATGGGATTTATGTACGGTTGTTTTGATTGTTTTTTATCAAATGAATATATTATTTATGTAGGCTACAGAAATGCAGAAAGGGAACGGCAGTGAAAGAGAAAGACTTCTGGAATGCAGTTTTCATTAATGGTATTATCTCACTCCTACAAAACATGGGAATGGTTTTGAGAGAAAAGGCTTGACACCAGATCTCCCACTTTACAAACTGCTGTTCAGCTACAGAGTTAAAACTCATCTACTTCTCTTTCATGCCCAGAGAATCTTCAGTTGTCTTCTGCAGAACACTTGAGCATTCATGAGTAATACTTGAAAGTGCTCTGAAGATCCTGGTTAAGAATATCAACCTAGGACCTGGGTAATGTGAATTTGGAAGTCTCAGGCAGGTCCTCTGTTCACAATGTAATGAACTATTCACTTGAGAAGTACACATACACGGGGCAATGCTGCTCTTCCCTCTTGTTGCAGTTTACAAGCATAAGTGAGCACATATCAGGTACCTGAAAATATACTTTATATTATCTAAATGAGGAAATTTTGACCCTCAGAAGGAGTCATGAAGCTCTGTAGACTTTGGTGATTTGTCCTGTCCATTCATTAACTCCTCAGCTGCAGGCAGCCTCACACACTTTACACCTTATGTCAGTTTCTGGGATGTCTCAGTCCTGCTGTACCCTGTGGAAGGAACCTGACTGCCCATCCAGGAATTCTTCCATAGGGAGGAAAATTTGGCTTTGCACTTGCTTTACAGTTATTTGTGGAGAGGGGAAAATTTTGAAAAGCTGTATTCCTTGCTACAACAGAGTGATCCTTGGAATGCCTGTAGGATCCTCAGTCAAGCATCTGGATATTAACAAAAAATTTCTTTCTGTTTGCTTGTTTTGGAAAAGTAGGCTATTCGCCAGAGTATTATGTCTCTCCAGGTAAGAAATTGATCAGTTCCTCTGATGGTGTATCATGAATTTTCAATGCTTTTTGGACCTGTCTATATGTCTTCAATTTTTCCTCACTAGACCTTCAGAAACCCAACAAAGCTCCTTTTAAGCAATGGTGGCCAATAAAGCTAAAGATTGAATCAGATGGGCAATACAACCCCTGAAAAAGATAACTGCATAAAAATTCACCAGACTGGGGGGAGCTTCAATTTGATCGCTATGGTTAAAGATATGTGCAGGCTTACAGTTTTGCACAATCAGTGTAGCTAGACCAACTGTTTATATCTCAGAAAAAGTATTAAGAGAATTTATTAAGTCTAGAATTTCGTTTTAAAATTGTCTTTCAGGAAAACATTTTACTACATACAATCAAAATAAAATTTGAAGGTTCTTACAAAACTCTTTTTTGGTGGGGAGTAATGCATTTAAATTTCAGTAGAAATAAGGTCAAAATGTTTCAAAAATACTTCAGTTCTTGGGTATAAATTACATCATAGTTACAAGTGAACCTCAAAATGAAAAATAATTTTGAAACAAACAGTAACATTATATTCCAATAAATGTAGAGAAAGCTGTTAGCCTATTGAAATGTTTTGTTTCAAATTAGAAAACACCTTTCAAGCAAATTTAATCAAAATTGATACTTTCCTTTAACAAGTTCAATTTTGTCAAAATCCTGTTTCCTGACAGCTGCAGTTATGACTTATATTTAGAAGCTTCCAAAACATTTTAATTTTGAGGTTATTATACAGATACTTCCAGTGCTAAAAGAGAATATTGTAAACACTGAAGGCTTAGAATAGCCTTTTCAAAGCAGGATCAAAAGCTTTAAAATGTTGCACATGGATATGGCTGGGGAATTATTTCAAGAGACAAAAAGCATTTGGAGAATGTTTGGAAAACATTGCTTTCCATAAATCTATACAAAGAATTGAAGTCTCAAGCTTTTGCTAAGGAAAAATATTATATCACATCTTCCTGATTTTTCAATTGTGATGTATTTTGTCTGTTTACTCACCCCTAGCATATGAGACATGAACTCTGGGACAGAGGTGAACAGATTTCAGTAAGGGAGGCTGGTCCCTGCTGAACACCCTTTATTTACACCAGAAGAACTGCCAAAAAAGCAAAGAATGTAAAAGATAGGGAGCAAAAAGCAATCCTGATAGCCAGAAATAAATAAATTAGGGCTTATTTATCTCTCTCTTTCATTTTACTTTATTTTTTAATGTAGAAAACACTTAATCTATTTTTAAAAGCACTTTGATGCCACCCTTTCTTGGAGTAGTAGAACACACAGTACCCACCATTGCTGAGGCAGAGTTCATTTCACTGAAGGTATCCAGAAAGCTAATTATCTCCTGAGAACTTGCTATAGTTTTAAGGTTATGCAAAAGATGTTAACTAATCACACAGCTCCCAGATATTTGTAACATGCAGTGTGACTCTGAGGTTGCATTTAAATGAGAGACAGGCATGACTACTGATGTGTTGTTTGTTAGTGCTGCACAGCAAGCAAAATGCTACATTACACAGTGCCAAATTCACAATACTTCATCGGTTATGCTTCAGAGATAACAGAAAGCATACAACACTTAATCAGTTTTCAGTGTTCCACAGGCTATATTAAATAATGATAATAATAATAAACTGAGAACTACTCCAGGAAAAAATAGACTACAAAATTAATTACAAATTGCAAATATGGTGCAATGCAAATGAAGGCAAACAAGAAAAGCAAAATGTTCATTTTTTTACCAAACACTGCCCCAGTTTGGAGAACTTGGGCTTCCTGATAAATTAAAAGTCAAAGATCAGGCCTTATATTACCTGTATTGGCTAAAAATTACACAAATTTGAGGATGTTCAAATATGAAGCACAGGACTCAGAACATATTCTCAATTTATAATTCTTCCTTTTTAATATATACTGAAATCAAAACTGCTGCAGACAGGTATCAGACATTCTGCATATTCTCAGAAGTGGGTGGGCAAAGAAAACAGAGGTTATTGAAAACGATAGTGTTGACTCCTTTGGAAACAATGCCATTTTATGTTTTTCCCCTTTGAAATAGCAATAGCAATCAGCTAGTTATTTCATAACAAAACCTCACTTTCAAAAGTTATAATTTAATGCAATCAATCAATAGCAAACATGAAAATATATGTAATATATAGCTTTTTGTCTATTTTATATCTCTGTACATTTATATTTATAATATATATAAAGACAAAAGCAAATAATTAGAAAATAATATTATACCTCTCCTGCAAGAGTTAATATTTATGCTTTGTCATTCATAATTTGAGCAAAATTACTACAGATAAGAATGATGGATAACTGTTATCTCTAAACATCTGACGTGAATTATTTAATTAATTGTTCCCATTTTATGTTACAACACTTAGCATATTGGAGTAGGCCCATACATATTTCAAAAGGTGCCTGTTTTAAATTTAGGGCTATGTCTTCATAAGACTAAATTAGAGACTAGATAATTAATATTTAACTTCTATTAAAGCATCTTAAAATGTATGATCATAACCACCACCTTTCACTTAAGACAGCCACATGAAAATCTATTTGTAAATTTCCTCTTAATTTTCAAGCAAATGAAACACAAGTACAACTTCAGAGGGCACATAAATGGGAAAAATCAAAAGAATCTAGGGTTTAGCCATTCAGAAAAAAGCATGTTTCAGAATTTATATCCTTCTGATCAGAGTTGGGAAAAAGAAGGAACCTCAGATGAACTAAAAAAATCTACAGAGGTTTATATACAGGGCATATCTAAAAACTGATGTGGATTTCTAGTTTAAGCTTAGTGGAAAGAAAGGGGGGAAATAAAGGCAAAAACATTCCTTGAAGCTGTGGTATTTGCCATAGAAATTGAATCTTGCTTTGAAGCTGGAAGCAGCTGTTTCTGAGAAATAGGGAAATAATTTACCATGAGAGACAAAGATAGAAAACAGATTATAATCTGGTTCATAATATTATTGAATTATTATTTTTAAAGTCAGAAAAACTAAATGAGCAAAAGTGCAAGCTATCAGAGGTAAATGCTGGCACTATAGGAAATGAACATTAGAAGATCACTTAGCTAACTAGAAGGCCAGAGTGCAGTCTCAGGTGTTCAGTGAAACCTGCCTTCCAGCTCAGAGGAAGTCTTGTTTAAAGTGGAGAAAAAAAAGTCACAAACATGAAGAATGAAAAAACTGTTTACATTCAAATACAAAACTATAGATCAAAAATGCTGAAGAGCATAAAAAGTCAGGAACCAAAACTGGAATCCCATAATTAGCTATTCCTATTTAGGAATTGGGCCTACTTAACCCAGATTTCTAATCTGTTTTTCAAAAGTGAACTGGAGAAGCTCAGGTAGCCAAAATAAAAAAATTAGCTAATAGGTGGCTTTTATTTCATTATGGACAAGAGGTTTATCCCATCCGAGGAAAAGGACTTTAACTTCCAATGTCTTAGACACCAGAGAAAAAAAAAAAGAAAATCCACAGAAATAAAGCCTTACTCAATGGCAAAATTTTTGCCAGCACTAGTACTCAGTTGGAAAAAGTCATTTGGGGGAATAATTAACTTTAAACCCGCCTCTCCCCAAAACAGATATTTCAGTATGTTATTTAAAGTCTACAGGCCAAATTGTCTATCAATTAACTCTGACTTCAGAGAATCAGCAAAAATGCAGCTGCAAACAGCAGAGCTTTGCTAGGATGAAAATGCCTTTCCAGCTATGTAGTTTTGAAAAAGCTTAGCCTTTCAAGGTCCCATTCTTGAGAAAAGGCAATGATTATCTGCATTTCCACCACTAACCAGTCTAAACTACTTTGATCCTTAAGTATTTGCTAAAACTAACATCACTGAGATTAAACTACAGTTAAATAATTACATGAATATATATGCGTACAATAGATTTTTACATATTTTTGTTCTAATGATTTCACAATCCAGTTTCTTTTACATATGAGCAGCCTTTCAGTTCAAGAGAAAAAAAATACTAAACAAACCAAAACAGCAATACTTGCCTAATACTTCTGTTTCTATGTAACTCTGTAATTTTTTCTTCCACAGAACTTTTTCCTGATCATTTTCAGAAATTTAATCTATGTCATCACATCATGATTGAGCCTTCGTGAATCATACATAATTTGCCTGAAAACCTTTGGTTTATGTTGTCTTCAGTTCTGGATTATATCCTTTTACTTCTGTGTTCCTTTTGATATTTCATCTCAGCTTGCTGTAGATATTAAAATTACAGCCAATGCACATATGAATTTGAATGTCATACTAAAGTGAGTATAGAAGATGTAGTAAAACAGAGATTAAAAATGTATGTGCAAGAGATGAGACTGGAAAGGTTCAGTGGGACAGTCCAGCACATGAAAGATGCTCAGAATTTTGGATGATTACCTAAATTTTATTCTGAAAACATTTAGATCTCATTTTCAGAAAGAGCTGAAGCTCAGCAAGACCCCTAATTGTATTATCACTTCCTAATTCCCTCAAAAAATTTAGAGCTGTGTTAAAATTAAACTGTGGGTGACTATGAACTGTGGGTTCAAATATGTAATTTTCATTTGGATGTCTACAGAAATTTAATTAGATGATCACACTAGTGATCACTCAAAGGCTTAACTGGTATCTTACGAAGTAACGTTCATGTCCACTAAGAAACTATGTTATCATAGTATTGGGAGAGGAAGCTTAAGATGGCAAAAAACCAGAGCAACTGACCAACAAAGGCTATCCACATTTGTTAGATTCCTGAAAAGAATGATAGGGACTAATAAAGAACATCAAGAAAAAAAAATATGACAAGGTTGAGTGACAATCCACATTTGGGTGGTTAAAGAACAAAGCTGTAAGGAAAACAAAGTGATTTCCTGGAGTGCAAAGATCCTGTCAACACAAAAACAAGTTACACAAACAATTTTATTCTTTTAATTCATATTGAAGACTGTGTCACTGTGATGTAACTGAACTCTTTAAAATCAAATCAATCAATCTCTGTAGCACTTTGTGGAAGAGCAAGAAGCAGAAAATAGAAACCTGACAGCCCAATGTACCTTTGCCCTGATGTTAACTTGTCAACACTTATAACCCCAGAAGGAGAAATCAAAAATAGACAATATATAAATTATTCTTAACAGCAGTGACAGCTACTGTCCTTTTCCTCTCAATGCATACAAAACTCACTGGCTTCATGTCATTATTATTATTTGTTATTGCTACTACTACTATTATCATTGTTATTATTATTGCGGTTGTTATTATTCTTATTGTCATTATTATTATTACTACTACTACCACCACTACTATAACTACCTTTTCCTATCTTAATCTTTGAGAGATGGATAAAACTGCTGTAAATCCAAACCAAAAACAACTACTGTTTTGTATCTTTCATTCCACCACCAGCAGGCAAACAAAAATCTTCTCATCAGGAAAAAAAAGCTGGGAATGGAAGCAAAATCCCACTCTGCTGGGTCCCAGGGCTTCCCAGAACTGTGATTTCAGCTACATAGAAATTATATCCAGTGCACTGAAATGACACCCAAAGCCTTCTGAACTATGGAAACATCAGAAGAACCTCAAAAACAAAGATAAACCACTCTGCCATTCAAGGCAGGAGCGATGCTGCAGGAGCTCTGCTTCAGAAGTGATGTCCTTGCCATGCACTGCTCACTAGAAGAGACATGAAACAAATTAAACTGTTCTTTGTTCCCTTCTCAGAACTCATCAAACACTGAACAAGAAATGTAAAAATTTCCCTTATTTTGATAAAACAAAATCTTTCCCTAACCCTTGTTGGATTCTGCTGTGTTGAGAAGTCAGGAGTTTACCAGAAAAGCCAACAAACGCTGCTTGGCCCACTGGAGTATGAATGAAGAATGGAGCTGTGAGTCTTACTGTCCCACAGGTCTTCCAGCATTGTTGGATTAGCAGGCTGAAGCCTGAAAAGAAATAAAGTTGATCAATTCCTGGAAGAGACTAGGGCCTTTCAAATCTCCCAGGACCTTACAAGTTCTCTGGGAGCTCAGTAAAACCTGAAATATTTGCTTAACTTCCCTTC